GTACAACATTGTTTCAGAAGACTCTGGATGTACTTTACGCTGCAAGTACAGAGGCTCTGATATTCAACTCTGCGCTGATTATAACATTCACGCTTAAAGCACTATTGCTGCAAGACTCTGATCTGAAGAACAAAGAACTACATCAGAGGATCTGATGTTAGTATATCCAGTTGAAAAGATGCCAGCTCAAAGAAAAGATCCGTTGTTAATCTCAACGTCTGCTCCAACGACACTATTCCTCATTTATGCATGACACAAGAATTCATACACAAAACACATGTCTGAACATTCCTCTTCCTGGAAAGAAAAAGTCAATAGAGGACAAAAAGGCAACAGAGGCTGCAAAACGTATAGCAATGCACGGTCTTTGAGATAAGGACTTGAAGTAGTATTTAAACAAGCTTCGGCATCTTTCCAATGTTGACAAAACATTCACAAATCATTTGAAAGAAAACCAACTCACAAGCTCTCATTCAAATATTCTTCAAAGCTTAACAGTTTCTATACTTGTTCTTAATTTTGTGTAAACATCACTGTTGTGATATAGTTTGCTAGAAGCAAAACCTTAAACACAAATTTGTTTAGTTTATCTTTTTAAAAGATTTCCTTAAGAAGACCAAGTTGTGGTCAGATTTTCTTGAGAAGACTAAGACAGTTGTCTTAGTGGTTTACACTGTAATCAAGTTTGATATAGTGGATTAAGTCCTTGTTGAGAAAGGCAAATCACCTGGGTAGGGTGGACTGGATTAGTTTGAGTTCAAACGAACCAGGATAAAAATACTGTGTTATTTTTTCTATCTACCAAAGTTGTTTTAAATCCCTTATTCAACCCCCCCCCCCTTCTAAGTGTTTTTCTCACCTTCAGCCGTAACAGTGTCAGTATTTTAAGTAGCAGTTGAGTCGACTGCAGTATAGTGCAGAAGGAAGATTATGTAAGAAAATACCCAAGTAAGATATGGATCAAAAGGACAAAGACGAGAAATACCTCAGTAGTGTGTCTTGAAGGGGGACTTCAGAGTCGACGGGTTTGAAAACCTCATCCAGATTGTCAGGAGCCAGCAGGTTTTTCGGTCGAAGTGACCATTTTGAAAGGTGTCTTTTTGACTGGGACCCTTCTTTTCTTTGCCACAAGAGTAGCCGGAGGGAGGTCGATGTTTCAGAGGGAAAGACCCGAGATTGGGTGCTTTCATCCGACGCGCCACCCTCAGAAGTTGACGCCTTCTCAGGGGCCTAACAAACAACAGGATAAGATAACAGTAGAAGACAAGTGCAAAGAAGCATCTAAGCATATGATACATATGGATTCGGAACTTCATGTTTCTTTGTAAGCCTTGTTGAGGTCGATGCAGCAGCTGGTTCCTATTTTCGGCTCTGAGGAGTAAGAAAAAATGATTAGCTAATGATAATTAATAAAATACAAGAGAAGAGCAAAGGCGGTGCCTTCTTTGAGGGGTCCTCTATGGCACCAGCTCCCTGGATATTCTCGACAAACACAACAACTGTCGGAGTGGGGACTTCGCCAGGAAAGCATCAACCATGTTTTCCAGGAAGAGGTCACGTTGAAAACATTGAGTTTGGTACTCTGACCACCAAACATTAAAGCCTTCTGTAGTAAAGAAGGATGGTTGGAAAGCAAAACCAGGCAACTCAAGGCGTTGAGTTGACTTAGAAAACTTAAGGCAATTCTTATAGCCTGTCAGGTTTATTCGTCGACCAACCTAAACAATATCAGAAGAATCCCACACTAAGGACTTGTGCAGCAGCTGGCTCAAACCAAATTTACGGGCCACCAAGTTGGGCTGGTAGTTCATAAACCCATAACATGTATTCCCCGTCTCAATTCGAAAGGATAACATGGTGGGAGTTAAAAACGCCCTCTATATAGAGTTCGACACTGCTTCCGTTTTAGGGGAAACACCAGGGAAGGGATTTTTGAACCACGCTGGACGAAACCGTCGATTCAGGAAGGGAGCCATGCTAGGGATGAAGGGTGTTGTTTTTGCAAACATGTTGAGATACTTCATGAAGAGGGTTTTGTTGGGAGTTTCCTGAGTAGTCATCAGTGCGAGTCGAACGCCTTCTATGAGACGTTCTTCATTTAAATGTTGCATTGTCGCATACACAGGATAACCCACCTGGTGCTCAAAGGTGGCGCTGAGCCAATGTTGTAACAGCCACATAAGCCCTGAAACATTCAAGGCTTTTGTGGTCTCATGGAAAAGTTTCAATATCAACATCGATAGACCAAGAGAATGGTAGAGGGAGGATAATAACAGCTTACCCAATGATATCTGTCGACCTTCATGTATTTGGATTGCCAAGTTGATATAACTTTTGGCTATTTGCAGAGAGCCAAGACAGAAAAGGTAGTATGACAACCAAAAGGTGATGAAGGCAATGTGTTCTTCATATGACACTTTGTCGGAATCCTTATCATGATGATCCCTGATATAGTTTTGAAAACCAGCACGATCGAAGTTGAAAGTGTTGGTCGTTTCCATAGTCGGATCAAAGGTTTCTCGCAGGGGAGAAAGGCTTGTGATGGCCTCCACGTCGAAAAGTGTCGGCGTCAGCATACCACAAGGAAAATGGAATGTGTTGGTCGACCCCTCCCAAAAATACATCGACGCCAATAATAAGCAAGAGTTAACCCTGTGAACATTCCTAGATAGTTGAATGGCATCGAAGATGCCAGCTGTTTTCCATTGCTCTTGACGTTTTCCTTAGACTCTGTTAAGCCAAAAGATATAGTCTTTATTTCCAAGAGTGGGCATCGACCGGAAAAACCTAGCTTTTGGTGCCATGAACTTGAGGTCGAAGGTGCCGCCTTTCTAAAAAGCATGGGGTATGGTAGGAAGGTAGCAAGGGAAAATGCTTGGAGTTTTTCATGGCTGGGTTTTGTGTCAAGATATGGCCCATGGAAAGCATGCAATTTTACAGCCACTGCAAAAGCTATGATCATCTGGCGTTGCCAGGTTGCTATCACAACGTCATCAGCAGACGTCAGATTGGGAAGGGGCCTAAAAGATTCGGCTTCAAAAAGAACGAAAGCAATGGGGTTCTTCTCAGTTGTGTGAGTAGCGGAAGCGGTTGAGGAAGCCATTGAAAGAGATATTAAGAGAACTTTGGGAGCAAAAATTTGGAAGGAAAGGAAAGTGTGAGAGAAGGTGGAAAATAAAACTAAGTGTGGGCAAAAACTATTTATAGACAAATTGAATGCAATTGAAAAGGCAGTGGACTGTTCCGATTCTAGAGGGAGTAAGAGTGGGTTAAAGCCCATAACTTAGGACGCAACTAGGCATGATGATTTTTCTTGGAAATCGTGGCGTAGAAAGGCACCATTATTACGTCAGACATCGGGTGACACATGGCTGATTCGACGGAAGGAAAATGATTATGTTGCTAGGTCATTACCAAGGTGTAGTCAAAATCTTGTAGGAAACCAAAACGCCAAGTTTCTCAGTCGACACGGTGCTCAGTCGAAACTGACTTTTGGGGGGCACTTTATTGGCTAGAAGATTTCGACTGAAAAAGAATTGACGAAAAGGCTTACATGTGGGTCGAAAGTTTAGGAATATGGTGAAGAAAACGACGCAAGTCGATGCCAACAGAAGATGTATTGAGATCGACTCAAGGTTATGTCGTCGTAGGTGTTAATTGATGGCCAATGAAATCGACACAAAGTATGAGAACCTTTTGAGCAGGAAGAGATTTGAAAGGCTGAAAACGTGGGGAAGTTACAAAGATGGTGGAGTAACACGTGTCGCCACCAGGACCAACATGAGGAAAAAAAGAACTATTTTCTTTTCCTATTTAAGGCAATGTTCGTCTTCATTTTAGGGGGGGGAGGGGGGCGCATTTTGTAACATTATCAAAGGGATACACTACGAGTACCAAGTGTTAAGAGAAAAGAGTTCACTCCTACAAAAATGTATGATAGTCTCCACATTTCTTTTTAAAGCAATTTAAATTACCAAATTTTAAAGATTTCTTGTCTTTTACTTGTTTATTTTGTTCGTTTACCAAATTCACGTACATTTCTCTTCAAGTTTGTGTCTAATTTATTCTAAACAAAACCATTCTACCAACATCGCATAGACTCAACTAGATTGTTATGGGACTTGTTTGACCGGTCCCGCAAGTAAACATGCGTTAAGAGGCCAGAGATTGTTCGTGTGAAAACCGCGTGCGAACAACATCTGAACTTTTTTTTTATCGAGTACACGCCCCTATTCATATCTCAATTTTTCTTCCGTCGAACATTATGAATAGTTAATTTTTAATTCCTAGGGATGAGTAGATATACTTTAAAATGGTTATGTTATGATCTGATTTTAGTTAATGAAACAAACTAATATGCAACCTTTATTAATCTTTGTGTTTAATTTGTTTTTTATCATTTAGACTAAGATAACTTTATTAGATCTGCAAAGAATCAACTCAAAGTTCCAGGAGAGAAACAACATGATGGATAAGAAAGAACTAAACTCGTATTTGCTATCCAATTCACTTCACGAACACGTGGCACACAGAGTGTTCACAAGAAAATCAACTAGAATGTAGCATAAGAAGAGGAAATTATTCCCCTATAATAAATGAAGAAATAATTCTTTTATACTTTCAGAGTCTTAAACATAATGTTTATATTTATAGACAATAAATGGAGAATGTTCATAAAAAATAAAATAAAAAGAGAAGTGAAGAAACTAAATATGAGCTAACAAAGTTATCAACATTTCCTACTATAGTTCAACATTTGCAACTTCCAGAAAGTCTTCTGAATCTTTATCCAAATTCATACACTCATCAATGAAATAAATGAACTTCATACATAAATCATAATTGTTTAGACACCAAACACAAACACCAATTAATTATTATCCACAAATATCAAATCAATGATAATCAACTCAAAAAGAAAAAGAAAAGGGTTAAATGATCATAGACTCTAATTAACAAGTTAAGAAATTAACATAAACAAAATCAAAACCTCTCACACACTAATCTAAGTACATTTCCATGAAGAATCTATCCACAATTTCAAGATAAGCAGAAGAAGTAAGTCTTGAATAGTAATAAAGAACTTCTTCAATATCCATCACATAATCTACATTGCTTATATCCAACATCTCCAATTCCCTTAACTTCTCTTCCACCATGCAATATCTTCTCTCTCTCATACCCTTAGAAATAAATGATGAATCCTTTTGCTTTTCTCCTTGAAGGGTCAATCTCTTTTCATTGTTTTTCTTGTCAAAAACCTCTCTTTTCTTCACTTGGTTTTTCTCCTTAGAAGGGCTTGCATTAGACAACTTGGTATAATTACCATTATTATTGTCAATGTTTGTGTCCATGTCTATGTCCACGACATGATTAGTAGCCTCACAATAAGATAAGTGATTGTAAGGAGAAGCGCTTTTTGGAAGCTTTTGGTAGCCGGAGGAGAAGAATGACTTGAAGTTCTTTAATGTGGTTTTGAAGAACTTCTTGGTAGTAGTAATAGAACTTCTCAGCAACATTGCTAAAAATAGTTATTTTTCTTCTACGAATCGAAACGACAAATACTGAATATAGTAAATAGTGATGGATGATTTTGTTGAAGATTTTTCTTTATAGAGGTGATTGAAGAAGAGGAATTATTAAAGAGAGTTTGGTTTTTTCTTTCCTTTTGTTAGTTTTGTTTTTGTTTTCACAAACTCTTGTGTTGTGTTGTCCTTGTTTTCCAAACTTGACCCTACAAATTCTAAACTTGGAAGATTGTGAGTTTTTGTTTTTTGGTTAGTTTCGTTGCTTTTACTTTTGATGGTGGAGTTGGTGAGTTGTAGTTTGTTTGGGAAAATGAGAGGTGTGGGTGGTTGTTGAATTGGACTTTCTTGAACTATTTTGTTTCTATACTTTATAGTATTTTTTCTCCTAAAGACTATTCAATAATCATGTTATGATTTTTCTTCTCATTTACTATAGTACTATATTAAAATAGTTTTGGAGACTTGATTCATTAGTAGTATTTTGAGTTAGTTGAATTGAGTGAACATTAAAAATGTAGTAATATTTACTATTTAAAAATATATATTGAATGTAGCATATACTTGACAAGTTGAAGATTGCCACAGTAACACGTGACTGAACAATGACCTAACAGGTCTAGTAGCACAGCAATGTATTTTCAATTTTATTTTAGATGAAAGCAATGTATTTTCATCACAAAAGGTGATTAAAATAAATTGTTTATTGGGTTAATATTCATTTTGCAGTTTATCATATAAGAGAAACTTTAACGCAGAGTTGTTAAACCAAAATTCTTTATAACTTACCTTAGTAATAAGAAATTTGTATTATAGGAAAGCTGACATGACAAAATTAAAATTTAGTTCCCGTTATCTATATAATTAACGTTAATTATTCATGTAAAATCTATTATAATATTATTTAATATTAATAAAATATTTCAAATATTCCAACAACACTAAAGTAAGGGTATCATATTTAAAAATAGTAATAGTCATATTATCATTTTTTACCTTCTATAAATTCTATAGAAATTTTATTTTTTTTACACACAGTTTTACTTCTAAATTTTTTTCTTCAATTTCCAATCTTATTTATTTATTAAATGGATCCCAACCAATCGAATCCTTATTATAATTATATTCCTATGAAAATGTAATTTTTTTTTATGTATTATTGTTGTGAATTTTGTATCATTTTTAATTTTATAATAAAATATATTTAATATTATTTTTAAGTTTTTAAGGTAAATTTTATTTAAAAAATTATATGTATTTTAATTAAAATAATTAAATTAATGGTAACTTAAATAAAAAATATAAAATGTGGGGTCAAGTTTTGATTTCTTATAGACAACCACCATTAAAGTAAAAACTACTCAAGTTAACTATAAATTTTTTAAATCCTACAAATCACTTTGGGCTCACAAAAAGTATCTTAGTTTATCCATTTAGTTTACTCTCACTAAAGATGCTCTAAACGAGTTTAAAAAACGTTCTTGTAAAAAAACATATATTTTTTTTTTATTTTGAGTTTTAAAGATTTTTCTATTTAGGTCTTTAATAAATTTAATTAGCGGAATCTTTACTGTGACAGATTAGGGAGGGAGCATGAAATTTTTATTAATTACTAATGAAGGATTATATAACCAAAAAATTAGAAATATTAAAAAAATTATAAATTATAATCATTTTGTTTGTTTTTATTTTAAAAAAATTATTTTATAATTAAATAATTATTCTACAACTTATCATTGTTTGTATATTTAAGGCAAAATTACATTATAGATTTTTTAAGTTATTTTGTAACAGATTAGTTATTTAAGTTTTTTATAATAATTTAGTCCTTTAAATTATCAAACATGTGTTGAGTAATCTTTTTTAACATAGTAAATATGTTAATTGCGGGTGCAATTGCTTTAAATTGTAAGAAAATGATGAAGTGCAATTGAATATATAATAGTCACACATTTTTAAATATTTAAAATATGAGAAATTGTAGACGTTAACCTAAAAAAACTAAGTTATTACAACAACAAAATTAAAAGATCAACTTGTTAAAAAAAACTTAAAGAACCAATTATATATATTTAATTACTTAATATTAAATAATACTCAATTTTTTAATGTGCAAAGTTAAAATAATTTATTTATATATAGTTAAACAAATTTATTGAGTCGAGGCATTGATAACGTTAAAATGTAGTGTGTTTTTAGGCTCATAATGCATATTATTCGTCTTTCTTTTACTTTGTTTTTATTACTTTTACGTTGTATTTTGTCTGTTTTGCAGATTTTCATAATTGTCAGTGCAATTTCGCAATAATTTCATAAAGGAACCAAAAGAGAAGCAAAAAGAGCAGAAAGTTGATCTTTCTGGTGCATGCCGTTCGCCATTCCCTAATGGTGTCTGCCATGTATCAGGAAGCCACATCATTTAATGAAGAAGGTAATGGCGTTCGCCATTGCCCTAATGACGTTCACCATTATCCTGCAGAACGTGAAGTCAGTTGAAACTCCCTCTGCCCACTTCCTTCTTCTTCTCTAACTTCCTAGGACGTCCAGAGCGGTTACAAGGGTTCCCAAGCTCTATATATAGGAGCCTTCTGGTCATTCAAAAGTGTCCAAGTCGTGCGAAAGCGCTGTCGAATTAGTTTTTTGGCAGAAAATTTACATGTAAAAGTGGCAATAACTCACATCGAGAGATTATCACACAAATTCTATTTGTTTACTTTCTTTGAACTCTTGGAACAAAAACAAATCTTGCCGGAATTAATCAAGTTGTCTATTTCTTCAAGTCTCGCATTTATTTTACTCTACAGGTTTTTGCTTACCACTTTAGTTCCATTATTATTATTATTGCATTACTTTACTTGCTATCATGTTGCCATTATATTTAATTGATATATTCATGTTGTTTTCATCTAAAATAATGTCTTGCTAAATTCAGTTTGAGTTCGGCGTATGAGGACCGTCGTTACCGACATGACTCAGTAGAAAATAATAGGTGCGAATTTGTGATTAAAATTCTGTTTTGGTTTTAGTTTTCAATTGTATGTCTTATTGTTTCGTCACGAGAGTGAGTAGAAAACTAAGGTTCGAGCTGATAGCGCGAGAGTATGAGGATTGAATCAGATAGTGAAAACTAGGCATCGATCCTAAAAACAGCGAGAGAGCTTTAGGTATCGATTAGGATTTAATTGATTTTCAAAATACACTTTCTAATTAAAATGGGCGAGCGAGAGCAAAATCTCATGGTTAGGGAGTGTGGCTCAGTTAATAGCGCGAGAGTGTGAGACGGTGTCTTTAAATCAATACTTTCTACGGAACATGTTTAATTATAACAATTTCCTAAAATCTACGAAGTCCCTTAGGAACGCGAAACCCTTATTCTAGCCTCATTTTATGAAAATCTCCAAACCTTTAGTTAATTATGTTTTTATTCCCTTTCTAATCTTTTTAACTATAGCCTTAGTTTTACACAACATCAATAGATAACGGTAGATTGATTATTGGTCTTTTTGGGTTTGATATCATTTAAAACTACATGATAGATCGTATACTTGCAGTTAGGTTTCGTTAGACTCGTATAGTCGCGATCAAGTTTTTGGCATCATTGTCGGGGACTAATTTAGTCAATATTGTGATTCCGTTGTTACGCAGTATAGACTAAGGCAACAAAATTTTACTTTTTCCTTTTTCGTTGATTGTATGCCAAACTCTTGCTCTCAAGGTGACAAGTTAGAGCAGCTGATTGACGATATCGAGTGTTTTATTAATTTAAGACGTCGAATCAACAATTTCAGAATTAAATATAACCTTCTTGAACCTGAAATTCCTTATCCAGAATTAAAAGTTCCCATGGCTGAGAATCCACCGAATCGTCCTCTCAAGGACTATGTTGTTCCATCGCAAGATGAACCACATAATAGCATCGTTGCCCCTACCATCGAACGAAACGATTTTGAACTAAAACCTTTGTTGTTACAAGTTGTTCAACATAACCAGTTTTCTGGAAGTCCTACAGACGACCCAAACCTTCATTTATCAATGTTTATGCAATACACTAACACCGTAAAAGCAAATGGTGTTAGTAATCAAGCCATAAGACTAAGTCTTTTTCCTTTCTCTTTAAGAGATAAAGCTAGAGCTTGGTTCCAGTCTCTATCATCCAATTCTATCTCTACGCGGAATGAGTTGAAGAAAGTCTTCTTATCCCGATATTTTCCACCTAGAAAAATTGCTATGCTACGAGCCCAAATCAATGGATTTAGGCATAAAGACAATGAATCTATTTTTGATGTTTGGGAAAGATACAAGGACATGATGAGGCTCTGTCCGCACCATGGACTTGAACAATGATTGATAATCCATACTTTCTATAATGGTCTTCTGTACAACACCAAGTTGAATTTGAACGTTGCAGTTGGCAGCGCTCTAATGGAAAAACCATATGAAGACGCCTATAAACTCATTGAAAACATGGCTCAAAACCACTTTCAGTGGGGAAGTGAGAGAACTCCTGCAGAGAAACCTGCTAAGAAGAGCGGAATGTATGAAGTTAATAGCTTAGACTGTGTCAGTGCTAAAGTGGATGCGCTTACTCAAAAGATTGAGAGTTTAACCGTAACTTCAGCAGCCATTGTGGCCACTGTGACACCAAATTGTGAATTATGTGGAACCCGTGGGCACAGTAACATTGAATGTCATCTATTGGCTGGTATTCCTATCGAACAAGTAAATTACGCCCAATGAAACCCATACTCAAACACTTACAATCATGGCTAGAGGAGCCATCCTAATTTTTCCTACAAGAGTAACAATGCTTTGTTCGCTCCAACCTAAGCACCACCTGTTCCTTCGGGGTATCAGAAAGGAGCCCCCACTGCTCCTCAAGCGCCTAGGAAGTTAAACGTTGAGCTGTTATTAGAAAATTTCATCGCAACCCAAACTCAACAAAACAAAGAGTTCGCCAACCAAAACATACACAGGAGTGAATTGCTGAAGCAAAT